AATCCATGCTAGCATTTTTCCCTTTACACCTTTTTTAACTAAGGTGTGTAGTATTGCTTGCGGGATTGCAAGTTCAAACGCTTTTTCTAGATCAAGGAAGACCACTATAGCTGGACCCGAGTTAACTGTTCCAAGTAATGTTGCTATGCAGTTGGCAGTACCTACTCCTCTAGTGAAGCCAAATATGTGTTTATGAAGGTCTCCAGTCTTCCACAGTAGTCTATTTAAGACCATCCGTTCTGCAGTTTTACAAATGCATGATGTTAATGAAATGGGTCTGTAATTGCCAGGTTCTTTCGGCTTAGGAATCGGTATGATGTCTGCTTTCTTCCAAGAGGTCGGTAGTTTGCCTTGCTGCCAAGAAGCATTGATGACGTCCAATATTCCTCGTTCTCCAGCAGGACCTGCATGTGCGATCATTGAGTATGTAATGTTATCAGCACCTGGTGCAGTGTCCTTACCACCTTTTTTGGCTCTGCTTAGTTCCTGTTCGGTGAAGGGACAGTCACATTCGTCATTTATAGCTATGCTCTCATGAATGACTGTCATCCTCTCTTGTTTTAAGTGTTCTTGCTGCCTTCGGACCATTGCAGGAAGCTGACATGAAGCTGTTCTTTCTGCAAATTGGAGAGCAAGTCTCTCAGCCTCCTGCAATGGTTGAGTACATGCCTGTGGCCGGGCTGGTCGACCTGATATAGTTTTAATCTGACCCCATATCTTGCCAAGACTACTATGTTCATTTAGAGTTTGACACCACTCAAACCATCTTGCCTCCTTTACTTCTCTAGAAACTCGTCTTGCTTCAGATATCACCGCTCGTAGCAGAGTTCTTCCTTCTGGTGTGGGGTTTCTCTTTAGATGTTTTCTGAAGATGTTGACTCTGTGGCACTATCAACTGGCTGGTCAACAGTGGCCATAAGATACAGCTTACGCCATCTGTTGACATCAAATTACACCTATAACAAATTACCCCACAAAATACAACTAACGCCATCTCGTTTTTTTCCAACGCACTATAAATAGCCAAACAGCAACCCATAAGGTGGGTTGTTGTGCTCGGGTAGGAGGTTCCAAGCTCCGCCCACAGATGGTATGGGGTGCATAATAAATGGCATATCATTGGTAGAAACTCTTTGTTGACATTCACACAACAGCCAATCACAGGAAGGGATCAGCTATAGGTGCCATCCACTTAATAAATCATCTTAGTTCAGCCCACCAGTCCTGCGTATGGAATTCTGCTTTAACTTTAATTTACCCAAAAAAGTGAAATGTTAATTATTTAGTGTTAATAAAGTGATAATTAAATACTGCAGGATGTAACGGGTGTTACAGAAACATGGGCTGGCTACCTAACTTGTGACGTCATCAGTGGGAGTTGTCTTGACACATATAATGATACGCTGCTCTGCCCTCTTATTCGAGTAAATTATTCAGTTAGATGGAGATTTCTGTCAGGTGCAAAACAAAAATTGTTGTTCTTTTTCACAACAATCTTGTTGTTGTGCACAAGGACCTATTTCTTAGTTTAAATTTTATTCATTAAAGAGTGTTGGTATTCCCCGCAACAGCCAATCACAGGAAGGTATTTCTAGAAGCTCGGCCTCCTTATGGACTCAGCACATCGCTCTAGCTCATGGCTCGCTGTTTCATCGCTTGTATATACAAACTATGACTTTTTTCGATTACTGTTATAATTAATAATATGAGATATAAAAGTTTTTTCACAAAATGGCTAAATTCTGCCATTAAATGGACTTCGTCTGGTATACATACAAACATACACCAATTTATTACCATTCATCCATTATTAATTTCAAATGTAATGTATACTGTCTAATTTTTTTCCTCTCGCCATTACTTGGTGCAATATTTGAAAGTTGTCTATTTATTTATCAATCTATCTATTATCTTGTATTTATATTTACAAGTTTCTCTGCTTGGAAGAAAACTCTGCATTGAATTGGGACTAATTTATTAAATAATATTATTTAGTATTAATTAATATTTACAATTATTATTTATTACAATTATTTATAGCTTAGTTACTTTCATGTAACTCGCAATCGTACATTCTTAACATTAATAGCCCAAATTAGCACATCTTTGCATCTTGCTTTTAAATTAGCCCAAAAAGTAGCAAGTAGCGAAATTAAAAATTTGGGAGCGCGGGGCTCTCAAAAGTAGCCCAATTCGCTATTTGTAGCCCAATCTGGCAACACTGACCTGCGCGTGCCGTCTAAATGGCTCCCAGCGCCGCCGCCGCCCACTCTCTCTCATATATAACACCTTTCTCATTATTACACAACAAATCCTACATAGCATTTGTGTGTATTGGTTTATTTTTGTAAGGAAAAATGTATGATTTGCACATGGGTTGTGCTAGAGATTAGCGTCGGTGAGAAGGTTACGGTTTTAGAATTATTTATGTCAATACAGTATATGGTTTAAAACGGGCGTGAGTTGCGCAAAGTTGGAGTATTGCGCCAAATTAGACAAGAAATTGACAGATAATACTAATACTAATAAAAATATTTCATTTATAAAATGTACACATGAACATGTTAACATGTTATAGTGGCTACTTAGTAGTTATAATAATTGTATATTATATAAATACTTAATATTAGTCTTCGCACTAGGAAGATTAGCAACATGGAATACCTGCAACAAATGTTTAAATATTCGTGTGTATGAAGTTTACCTGAATTTACCCGAGGGCCATTAATACTAGTGGCCTCGGCGAGGACAGGAAGCCGGCGGCTAGTCAAAAGGTCCCCACATTTGCCCTGATAATCTTTTTTACCAGAGTTATATTTTAAAACCCAACAGAGTTTGGGCATTTACGGATTCGTCGGGTAGGCGGTTCCATGAGTTAATACCCATGTTAGTGAAACAGCATCTCCTGGTCACAGTCCTACATTGTTTCAAGATTGTTAACCTTGAAACCATTGCTCTTCGTTCGTGTTACGAGGATCAACGAGCTCTATAAGCTCTTTGAACTCGGAAAGTTAAAGATTAGATTAGATTAGATTTTTTATTCAGGTAAAGGTACATACATTGAAGATTAGTTACAAACATAATGTTAGATTTAAAGATAAGTCTAGTACATACAATACCTAAAGCCACTAGTACTCATAGCGTTTCGGGCAGTAGTTACAGAGCTCAAAGCACCTCAGACTTTGTAGTCTGAAATCATTGATTACAGGACAATCACAGCCATAATGTTGGAGAGTGTGTCCTAGCTCATGTTCACACAGTTTACAATGGGAACACTCACCATTAGAGGAGTCGTTGCCTCCAACCACCTGTCACGATGTTAGTTTAGAACCTGCTCAAATCGCTATATATGTGTGTGTAATTACCTATGTGTAGTTACAGGATGAGAGCTACGCTCGTGGTGTCCCGTCTTCCCAGCACTCTTTGTCATATAACGCTTTGAAACTACTGACGGTCTTGGCCTCCACCACCTTCTCCCCTAACTTGTTCCAACCGTCTACCACTCTGTGAAAGTGAATTTTCTTATATTATTCTGGCATCTTTGTTTAGTTAGTTTAAATCTATGACCTCTTGTTCTTGAAGTTCCGGGTCTCAGGAATTCTTCCCTATATATTTTATCGATTCCTGTTACTATTTTGTACGTAGTGATCATATCACCTCTTTTTCTTGTCTTCTAGTTTGGGCATATTTAATGCCTCTAACCTCTCCTCGTAGCTCTTGCCCTTCAGTTCTGGGAGCCACTTAGTAGCATGTCTTTGCACCTTTTCCAGTTTGTTGATGTGCTTCTTAAGATATGGGCACCACACAACCGCTGCATATTCTAGCTTTGGTCTAACAAAAGTCGTGGAAAATTTCTTTAGTATTTCGCCATCCATGTATTTAAAAGCAATTCTGAAGTTAGAAAGCGTGGCATAGGCTCCTCGCACAATGTTCTTCATGTGGTCCTCAGGTGATAGTTTCCTATCTAGAACCACCCCTAGATCTCTTTCTTTATCAGAATTATTTAAAGACTTTTTCACATAATTTATAGGTTGTGTGGGGTCTTTGTTCTCCTATTCCACATTCCATAACATGGCATTTATTCACATTAAATTCCATTTGCCAGGTGATGCTCCATATACTTATTTTGTCCAGGTCTTCTTGAAGGGCATGACATTCATAAGTTTCTTATCCTTCCTATTATCTTAGTATCATCAGCAAACATGTTCATATAATTCTGTATTCCAACTGGTAGATCATTTATGTACACAATGAACATCACTGATGCAAGAACTGAACCCTGTGGTACTCCACTTGTGACATTTCTCCAGTCCGATACATTGCCTCTGATCACTGCCCTCATTTTTCTATCAGTCAGAAAATTTTTCATCCATGTTAGAAGCTTATCTGTCACCCCTCCAATATTTTCCAGTTTCCAGAACAACCTCTTATGTGGAACTCTGTCGAAAGCCTTTTATAGGTCCAGATAGATGCAGTATGTATGTGTGTGTGTGTGTGTGTAGTGGCTTTTCAAGACTGTACCATCTATAATTACCAACATATGTACTTTCACAACCCATTGCACCTTCTTATATATAAATAAATAAATAGTCCAGTTCAAAGTCTGCTTCATGTACTTGTTAAGTACTGTACAAGATATGTATATATATAAAAGTTCATAATTCAGTTGTAAAATATACACAGGAATAATAGGGGGGGGGGTCATTTGACAAACCACAGGCTTCCTGTCCCCGTTGAGGTTACAAGAGAGAGATAGTGGCTCTCAGGTAAATTGTTTTTCAATCGTTTCTTACTTACATATCAGAGGGAGGTTTCTCTCAACTGATTAAGACTCCAGAGACGTGGAACTTATATACATTAATATATCTATAAATAATTTAATAAAAGATATAGCTTTATGTACTGTACATATTTATTGTTGTTGTTGATTTAGGGGCGAGTACATATTTATTTATATAGTGTTATATAAAGAACCATCATGACAGTTTGTTTTGATTCCCAGCAGACGATCTCCGTCCAGCGTCCAGAGAGGCTGGTCCGCCCCTCGCCTCCCACCTGCCAGGGGTCACCCACCTGCCAGGGGTCACCCACCTGCCAGGGGTTACTCACTTGCTTAGGGTCAACTACCTCCCCCAGCCCTCGAGTCACCTGACAGGGGGTTATCCACTTCTCAGGAGTGACCCACCTACCTAAGGCTTGCCTAACAGCTAAGGGTCATCTACCTCCCTCATTCGTAGTCACCTGACGGGGGATTATCTCTCTCTCAGGAGTCACCCACTAGCCTAGTGTCAGCTAGCTCTCTCGTCCCCAGATCCATCTGCTAAAGGTCACCCCCACCTATTAGGGGAAGCTTTTCTGCAAGGGACCAATTAGTGCTTGTCGCACGCTGTCACATATATATCCAAGGTTAGTTGATTGATTGATTGATGAAGACCTTACTTCATTACACACAGAAATCACAATAGCGTGATGCATCAAATGAACAATAGAATGTTGTAACGCAGTCGATTAAGACGCGTCTGGGATCTTCTTGGACGTAGGTTCGAACCCTCATCACGACCCTTATGGATTTGTTCACCCCTCTTAAATTATTGAACCACGATAAGCAATGTAATCCTCTTAATGGATTCAGTTGAATCCCAGGTTTCATTATTTATAGCATGTTATGGTTCAGTGGTTTAACAGGTGTGCTTAGGAGTATCCAGGTTGCAGATTCAGATCTCTCTATTGGCTCCAAATGATTTTCATATAATTCTTGCTAAGGATGTGCTATATTCACATTGCAACTTATAAATATCATCATATAATATACTTTAAGAATGTCCATACTGTTGTAGTACAGTAACCATATGTGGCCTCCTGCTATATTCTTGATTTAGCAACTTCACCCAGGTGTCTGCTGCTGGAAAATGTGTTTATAGCATTCACGGCTAATTGTCACTGCTCTCAAATGGAGTAAAATCAAATAAACTTGATTCGTATATGGTTGTAAAGTACATTTATAATCGAGTAGCACAAAATAACAGTACATTAATTATCGTATATACATAAGGCAACGTCTAAAGTCGTAATAATACCATATATTTATATATTTACAGTATTGTTCCTAAGCCAAATAAATACAGTATATGGTTATGAATAAATAGAAATTATAAGTGACTTGCAAATCAGACTTTGATGCCATTTGTATTTCTTTTCAGGATTAGTGATGGGTTGACTACTTTTGACAAGCAGATCTAAGATGTGTTCAGCAGGAGGGAACAGTAATACTGGAGGAGGAGGAGGAGGAGGGGGAGACAAAGGAAATGGAGGAGGAGTAGGGTCTGGAGCAGGGGAGGGAGGAAGCGGACAAAGCCTGGGACCGGAAGAGTACACAAAACTGGCGTGTGATGGAATTCAGCTAATGCTCAACAACAGATTCACCGAGGCAGAGGAACTCTTTCGCCATCACACTCAGGATAATCTCCACATGGCAATGGGTTACTGCTACCTCACCTTTATGGTAGGCCGAGTTGAAGTTCAGAGCACTTTTTTTTTAGTACTTGATATTGTTATTTTGATATCTGTAACCAATTGATGAAGTTCAAGCCACCCAAGAGGTGGCACAGGCATGAATAGCCCATAAATCTGTAACCCATTGTAACTGTTGATCACTATTTGTTATGATTTTGCTAAAAAAAATAAAAAGATTTTCTTAATATACCAGTACTAGGGTGTTAGGTTACTGTCTTATATATAAATAATAACAGCAAGCATTACGTCTTTTGTTTTTTAGAATGCCGTCATGTCATTTGAAGAGGAGAAAGTAACCCACAGCATGGAAACACTGCGCAGCATGGAGAGGAGGTGTGGTGGGGGAGAGAATGGATGGTTTTCATCTGTTAAAAGTATTGTAATGGGTTCTAGGAATGGGCAAGAACAGGTATGGGATTTCTAGATGTCATCTCATTGGCTTACTGTGCTCATCTTTGCATGTGTTTTTCTCGAGCCAAACTGATAAAAGGCTCAACCTCTTTCTTTAGCATTGTTGGCTAAGGACTTTACAATTTGTTGTTGTAAATACTGTACAGTATAGTGGTGTTTTTTATCTTTCTGCTTACAAACACACAGTTTATGCATCTATCTTATATTACATTTTAATTGTGTCAGGAATGATATTCAAAAGTTTATTGTATTGATAGATGCAATTTAAAAAGAGGAAAGAAAAATTAAGTAAATTCCCAAATTCACATTCATTTAATAACAGAAATGTGCTGATGTTTGCAAGTGTAGTGCATGGGATTACTGTTTCAAATTTATTTTGCATGTTGTATTGCATATGTATTCATAATAAAGTGTATGTACATAATTATATAAACAATATATATTTTTTTAAGAAATGAGAGTTTGACATCATAGCAAACTGTTGTGGTATCAGACAGGATACTATTATGTGGAGCATTTACACATTACTCATGTTCTTGAGAACTAACATTCATTTAGCGCAAAATAAACTGTGTAGCCCTCAGGATATTGAACAAAGTTACGTGCTGTCAGCTAGCTAGGTCTGCTACATGGTACTACCACATGCTGCCAGCTAGCTAGGTCTGCTACATGGTACTACCACATGCTGCCAGCTAGCTAGGTCTGCTACATGGTACTACCACATGCTGCCAGCTAGCTAGGTCTGCTACATGGTACTACCACATGCTGCCAGCTAGCTAGGTCTGCTACATGGTACGATCACATGCTGCCAGCTAGCTAGGTCTGCTACATGGTACGACCACATGCTGCCAGCTAGCTAGGTCTGCTACATGGTACTACCACATGCTGCCAGCTAGCTAGGTCTGCTACATGGTACTACCACATGCTGCCAGCTAGCTAGGTCTGCTACATGATACTACCACGTGCTGCCAGCTAGCTAGGTCTGCTACATGGTACTACAGTACCACATGCTGCCAGCTAGCTAGGTCTGCTACATGGTACTACCACATGCTGTCTGCAAGGTAGCTTGATTTTGTACTGGTGTACACCTGTTCAGTACAACCATAATTGTAATTATTTGTACCAATTGTATTGAATAAAGATTATGATTCCAATCTATTGCTTGGTACTGTATGTTGTCAGCCAGATAGATCTGCTACTCTGCTGTATTGTAATCTACACTTTAAAGACAAAATATAATGGCACGTGAATTTAGGGGGAATTTATGGTTTTGTGGGATTTTTTTTGTCTTTTGCTTTCTATATTTTCATTGTCCATACAAAATCTGGCAAATGTCTTTGCTGATTGTCTAGTTAGCAAAAGGCAGTTGCCAGATTGCTGATTGAAAGTCGACAATCAGCAAAGGCAAATAAAAGCCTTTGCTGATGATCTTAAAACTTTGAAGATTGTCTATAGTGGTGCAAGGAAGGTCTATATTGTTATTGATCCCTATAATCAAGATTTTCAAACAATTTAAACATAATTCATGGTCTACCCATCCACGTTTGTTAACATCTTGAAAATGTTCTAAGCATAGCTGCACCAACGTTTATACACCTTGCATATTGCATCCACTTCAATAGTTTCCCCTTGTCATGGTGAGAGGGGGGGGGCTCATGTACAACTCCCTGAGGCCAGTGGGGGGTTGCCTCGGCCCTTCCTCTCAGCATTGTGCGAAACGAAGTAAATGATGAAGCTCCTGCTTGGGGTCCGATAACCCAAAGTAGGACTCGCATGGTCAATGGAGCCCAAACTTTTGAAACCAATGCAGGGTAACTGAAATGACTTCTGAAACATAGGCTCATAGGGGTGGGTGACCAGGACCCCTCCACAGTCCAACAGTGGTGAAAGATCGGGCCACATAGCCCTGGGTATGAGGAGCCCAGACCTAGTTACGTCTGGCTCTCCAGCTTGATCTCCGTTCTCCTCCCACTTCCTTGGCAGGGTCGAACCCCAAGTCCCCAGTGGTGACTACCTCATCACCTGAAGTGGCTCCATCTTTTAGTTGTGACAACTGCTGCTTATATTCTCCTTAATGGGATGCCAAGATGCCATAATCACACTTGGACACTCATGATACCTTCAGTGCTATGTACCATAATCTGTTTGCAGTCCCTTCTAAGGAGGTAGCCAATTGCATAGCAGCATTGTTCTGCATTGGTGAGATCCAGTTTAGGCTTTCAAAAATGTTCACTTAAATGCCAGCATCAACAACATTTTCCTGCACTCATGTTGCAAATGGAGGGACAGGGAATTTATAAGACTGCTACGAGGATATTAAATATATTCATGAGGCTCGCAGTTTCCCAGGTTGGCACATTCACTCGGCATCTTACAGCTGTACCATTATTCCTTAGTAGTGAAGATCACTTTTGATGGTAACACCCTTCTGCTTTCTGTAGTTTTTGTTCATGCCAGATACTCTGTTCAGGAATACATTCCCTCTTCACACCTCTTCAATAGGTGCTGGAAATGTGGACACGGTTCCTCAAAGTGCAGTAGCGAGACGTCCCTTTGCCCCTTGTGTGGTGATCCTGGCCATTCTAGGGTAGATTGTTCGTCTACCAAGTTCACTGCATCAACTGTGGTAATGTCCACCCTACCTTCTGCACATGCATGTAATATAAATTTGAATAAGCCATCCTCAACATAAAACATTGATTGCACATCTTTTCCCAAAGCAAGGCACTGGGTCTGGGACCTGAACTTTTTCTGGCATGATGTGCTCATGCATTACGTTGCACTACTCTTCCCCCACCTTTTTTTAACTTCTTCAGCTCCACAGCTGTTCCCAAGTCTTAAACCAACAGCTCCAAAGCTTCGGGTGGACGGTAGGGCGACGGACTCGTTTCATGCAGGTTGGCGTTTAATCCCTGACTGTCCAAGTGGTTAGGCAGCATTCCTTTACCCCGTCCCATCCCAAATCCTAATCCTGAACCCTTCCAAGTGCTATATAGTCGTCGTGGCTTAGTGCTTTCTCCTGATAGTTCCCTTCCCCCTTCTTCGCTCCTCTACTATCTGAGGCTGAAGGTGTTCCTCATGTACAGTATCACCAGCTGCCATTTCCACCCTTCCCTCCTAGTCTTCTCCTACTTGCTTAATTCATAGGCACTTAATGGAATACACACTACCACCCTGCTCCTTATTGGTTGAACTGCCTGGTCCCACTTAGTCATGCACCTCCTTGTAGTATGTCCCAATTTTCAGGACAGTGCTACATCTCTTTCCTAATGTCCCTCGATAGAATCCTTGGTGCCAATGAGCACGCGTCTAGATCCAGAATCCCTTCATGTAGCAGTGGCCCTCCACCTTGGTGCCCCAATTCACACTGAATGCAAGTGTATTTGAAACAGGGTGGAAGCAGACCAATATGGCCTGCATGGGTTGCATTGCGGAAGCACAAAAGGCTGGCATGCAAGACACAACGAGGTCAATGACATTATCTAGAGAAGCCTCATCTCAGCTCAGTGCCCAGCGGAGAGATAACCTTGCATCCTAGGGGACCAAAACCTGGATTTCCCCGCACTTCGCCCTGATGGCATCACCATATACTCCTGGAAGAAGGGCAGACAGTTGGTGTGGGACTACACATGTGTATCCATCCTGGCTGACACCTATGTACACTTCGTTGCTGATCAAGCAGGAGGGGCGGCCAACCACAGGGAAATAGCAAAATCAGTCAAATACAGGCGACTGGAATGTTGATACACCATTGTTCCCATAGCGTCTGAGATGCATGGCCCCTGGGGCAAGAGCGCCTTGGGATTTCTCAAGGAATTGGGCTCCAAGCTCACTGATGTTACCAGAGACCCAAGAGCTGTCAGTTTTTTGTTTCAGTTCCTCAGTGTGGCGATCCAGAGGGGGAAACACCTGATGTATCCTCGGTTCCTGTCCGGAAGCGGAGGAGCTTCAAGAGATCCATAACCTTTAAGCACTCTTTGTATCAACCAATGTATATCTTGTAACCTTTAAATATATAATAAAGCAAAAAAAAAATAAAAATAAAAACGAAAGGGGTGGTAGGAGAAAAGCACACAGAAACTGTATTGGAGGGGACCTAAACATTCCCTCTAATGCGTTATGTGTGGTTTCCTCCGAGGCTCAGGGTCTCCTTCTTCCAGCCAGAGATGGTACTCCCTTCCCTTATATATAATATGTGTATGTGTGTATATATATATTTTTTTCTTTTTTACTGTAGCATTATTATGCTTATCTTTCCTCCTTCAGGGAGAAGAGCCTGGCTCACAGCTTGAGCATCAGGTGATTCTTGCTGACTGTCAGGTCCTTCTGGCCATCCTCACTTTCCTTCAGCAAGAGATTGGTTCCTACGTCAAGGGCGGCTGGGTTTTACGCAAGGCTTGGAAAGTCTACGAGCATGCTTATACCAAGGTCAAGAGATTGTACAAACAGACTTTTGGTGAAGCTCAAGATGTTCCTAGTAAGGCCTAAGCTGATGATTGTCTATATTTGTAGCACGAGCATGGTTAAAGGCATCCATATTTGTTTCAATGTTATTGAGTGTGGTATACATACAATTGTATTTGATTTGCTTTTTATATGGAATTTATGAACTGCTTGAGTGTGCATGCCCATTTAGTCAAATACTGCTTCCCTAGGTCCCATGTCATTGATTTTAAGTCTTCATAGACGCTTAATAAGAGGGGAGAAAATAGTTACCTGTCAATGCTTACCTGTTAAGTCTCTACAGGGAGGAAGATATAATTATATAAGAATTATACAAGAATTAGTATATAATTATACAAGAATAACATAATTATACAAGAATGATATAATTATACAACAATTATTATATAATAATACAAGAATTATATAATACAGTATGTAGTTTTCTTTGGGTTCTGTCTTCCTAGTTAACCTGTGTGCCTGCGACCATCTGACCATATCTGCTTACCTGCATGACTTATCTTGTCTAAAACTGCTAGTTGCTCCTCCGTTATGAAGTTCATCCTCTCCAGATGCTCTGCTGTTCTCTTCCTATGATTGCATTTTTCTCGTACTATGCAAGGAATGCGTGTTTGTGACAGTGGTCTTTAGTTTAGTTCCTCCTCCTCCTCCTCCTCTCCCTTTTCTTTTTTTTATGGAGACTACATTTGTCTATTTGAGATTTCTGGGAAATTTCTAGTATTGTTTTATTTAAATTCCATGCAAATATATCCAGTAACTATGTTGATATCTGGTCTGGCCTTGATATCTACTGCTTTTGATGTGTAGAGATCTTTCATAGGTTTTGATGTGTGTATATCTTTCAGATGCTTTTGATGTATATAGATCTTTCAGATGCTTTAACTCTTCTTCAGCTACTGCTCTATTATTGAATGTTGTGCTCTCACTGTCAATTGTCTCCCTTCCCTTTGTCTATACCATTGATGTTTTGTAGATGTTTGGGAATCTCTGTTGTGTTCTTCACACCTTTTCTGAGGGCAGCTCTTTGTGGCTCTCTAAAGCTATACACTTGAGATGGTTCTCAGCTACCAGGTCGCATCGGCCATGGAGTTCTTAGGCCTATCTCACAAGAGGAAAAGGGAGCGGTGACATTTGGCCACCTCACAGTTAAAGACATTTAGAATGTCGGCGAGAACTTTGAACTAAATAGTGAATACTTGCCCAGCAACAGAACTATAGACAGTCTCCTGTCTTAGTACTAGACTCAAGACTCCCTCTGGCATATGGGCACGGCCCTTGGCTGTGTTGTATTATGTAATCCTGTCAACACTCCTCTGATGATGCATAATTTGTAGTATATTTATTAACATTACAGCCTTTTGCTAGAAATTAAAAGGCATCGATGCACTAAAATCATAACTAGACTACATGCAATACCAATAAACACCACAAAATTGTCTTGAAGTAAATGGTAGGAGAAGCACACCATAACTGAAATGTCCTGGTAACCAACCCCACCTGGTCCTGACCCTGTTGGATATTGTGTGTGTGTTTTTATGATTGTGGCAACTGGTGGAACAACCAGATGAGCTAAGGTGGTGGTGGTTGTTGGTGAGGGCCCTCATCAGTGTTACTAAGTTAGGGCCATGAAAGACTTTAATATTTTTGTGGAATAACTTCTGATGGGCTAACCCATCAGAATAACCTAGCCCGTCACTCTCGAGTTGTCACAACGCCACAAGAATGTACTAAATTGTCTGAACCTAACTGAAACGAGCACCTAGAAATAGAAAATGGGACAGGCTGTCAATATTGCAAGGCGCTATGATTTATAGTACATCATATTTTGGCAGCTAGGGGTTCATATACCAAAATGCAATGTACTACTCAAGAGGACAGGTTGCATTCCCAGGCTAGAGTTAGTATGAGCCCATAATTGTTGACATTAGCCAGGGGTTCCAGCCAACCTTACTCACCTGCCACCTGGTCACAGCACACGTAACATGGAACCTTTCACGGGATCCACTCCCTGAAAAAAAAAATCCTTATTTTTACAATATAGATGAATACCAGACAATTGTATGTTGGGGTTTATTTAGTAAACCCAGCCTAGCATCTATCTCATTTCTCACATACTTTCTTGTGCAAGTGATGCATGAGGTGACTGGTCTCATTTTACACTGGCTTCACCTGTAGATGGCACTCTATACAGTAGATGTTTTGAAGGTAATTGTAATGTTTTAGTAGAGTTTTACATGTGGCTTCCTCTCGTTGAGTGAGATCCTAGTGTGAAAAAAGTGTCCAAGATATTTACAGATGCAATATTGTGTTTCATGCCCCCCTAATGTATTTATTGTATGCTTTTTCAAGTGGGGCAATTGTTTTTCCTGTAAATAGTCTTATTATGATACACTTTTGCTTACGTTGCAGTGAGCCCTACGGAAGAATACCCGGACTCTCTCGACACCAGCACTGATGAGCTTAAGAGTCCTGGGTCATGGTCAGTTGGCCCCACGGGGGTACCTGGACCAGCTGATGGAGAATCAAGTCTCCACTCTGCCCCATCTTCTTCTTCGACCTCAACACTAAGCCTGCGCATTCCTCTCTCCAAGTCTGTACCCAACCTAAAGGGATTCCTCTACTCAAACAACAAGCAACAGCCTAAGAAGTAAGCAAGTCACTAAGTATTAGCAGAATTTTACAAAGTGAAAGAAAATGTGTCTTCCGAGATTTTTGCTACAAGAGCTTTTCAGATTTATTCAATACTGGTAATGTTTTTGGAAAGCTTACATGCAGTCTTTCTTAAAAAATACATAATGAAACACACAAACATTGAATGAGCACTTCTCACACCTCTAGTTTGTGTATATATTATTTTTCCACTGTTCTGTTATTATGCTCATGTTTTCTTAGTCAGGGAGAAGAGGCAGGCTCACAGCTTGGCTTGACAGCTCTTACAATGCAGCAGTTTCTCAAAATTCATTTTCTGTTGAATATGGTATCATTCACTGTGTCTGCTCCTGGTTGTTCCTGTTACAGTACTTTTACACCTACTTTTTAGTGGTAATGTTTCAGGGATGTGAGAGGTCTTGAATGGCAGTATTTCAGGGATGTAATGAGTCTTCAATGGTAAGGTTTCAAGGTGTGTGAGGGGGTCCTAAATGGTAATGTTTCAAGGGGGTGCGATGGGGCTTGAATGGTAATATTTCAGGGAGGTGTAATGGATCATGAATGGTAGTGTTTCAGGTACTGTGGGGGGTCTTTGGAGAATGTTGGCATGAAAGACTTACTGTTGTAAGCATGAAGGACTTATTGTGCCAGTATCAACTATCTCCTTAAAAGTTCATGGTCTCATGGTAATAAGACCTAATTAAATTACAGTACTCTGATTAGGCAAAATTGTGTATTAATTTTGCCAATAGGGATGTTAATAGTAATGAGAATTGTGTTGCACAACTGTTGTCTTTATGTAAATCAAGAATTGTAAAGGGAATACGACTCTTTTGTATTTATTGAAGAAATTAAGTATTTCTGCATCACTTTACATAATTGCCAGTTGCATAGGGATTAATAAGTACAATTATAAGCTTAGGATGTCTTTTGTTTTGATCTTATTTTGATACCACATTTAAAATAAACTAAGAAATAAATGTTTAAGCATAGGATATAGTATGTTCATAAAAGGTGAAGGTCTAAGAATGTGGAAGCCTCACTACTTGTCACTTGACTGTTTCCAACATGAAAGGCCCAGTGCCTCCAACCATATAAACCCGGATAGTAGGAAACGATTATGATAATTCTGGCATAGTTACATGCTCATTTGTTCAAATAAAGCGAGACTAATAGTTAAACAGCTTGGTGAGGTTTTCTGTTCGTCCATGTATGTTGTGTTAATATTTGTTTAATATATCTGCATTTCAGCAGGCCTTTACCTCCTGGTATGGTGTCTCGGCTGATGGCGTCTGTTAGTTTTGGGTACGGCTTGTTCCAGTTGTGTATGTCCCTCCTACCACCATCTTTGCTGCGATTAGTGCATGTCCTTGGACTACAGGGAGATAGATTGGCTGGTCTCTCTGCTCTTATGTTTGCCCGCAAATCACATGACATGAGGGCTCCACTAGCAACGTAAGTTTTTATGTGATAAACTTCTTTTTGTGTATTTGTCAGTACCGAGATCAAAAGAAGCCAGAAATGTTCAAGATTTTAGAGAAAAAAGTTTGAATTGCTAGATTTATAAGAGAAAGTTAAGATAATGGAAGAATAAAAAGTTTAACACTGTCATATTTTGATGTGGTTGAGACATGTTAATAGCATGCTTATCCATGAAAGGTAAATGTGGCATGGAATAAATTAATTATTTGTTGACCACCAAATCTTTTTTTTTTATTAATTTCTCAATTATAATTCTTTCTTGAAGCTCACAATGGTGCTCAATGACAAACTAGTTAATTTAAGGGTTATGACTAATTGGTGTTCAAGATATCCCAGATTCACACAATCTGATCCTAAATGAAGATATAAGTTTTAGATACCAAGAATTGGCTCTTACTATATATGGATTTGTGAGTGGATAGTCCAATACCCTCAATTCACAGTTTACATAACCATTTCTCTCAAAAGAATGCCATGCATTGAGCTCCTTTTTACTTTTAAAACACTATTTGTTTGTTATTGCCTCATATTATTACTGACCTCAGTGTTTTGGTCTGTTACTTTGCCCACCAGCTTGACCCTGTTGTGGTATCACACAATTGTCCGGCCATTCTTTGCCCTGGATGGTAGCAAGGTAAAGGCGGGAGTTGAGGCTGCTCACATTCTACTGCAGGAGGCCCAGCAAAACTATGCACAGTCAGCTCTCTTCCTCTTCTTCCGCGGTAGAGTCCATAGACTTCAGGTGGGTCTTGTAAAGCCTTATTATCAGATATTTAGTTTTTCCATTCAGATTAGAGTGATGCACGAGATAATTTACCTAACCAACTCAACACTAGGAATTAAACTGTCTGCATTATAATTAGCTAAGAGTTGTTTGACTGTCATAGTACTGAAGGATGCTTCCACAGTCATACAGTATACACAGGATGGGTGATAGATGGTCAGAAGAGAAATGAAAGTAGAAAAGTTCTATAATGAAAAATAAGAATTATTAAATAGGCAGTTTGATGAGTGAGATTGTGTGATAGATTAGCAAGTGATACTCTGTAGTGATTATTCAAGTTCATGTAATACTGTACAAATGTCATTGCAGAAAGGTGATCCCTTTGTTAGTAGTTAATCTGTGGAACAAGAGCCAGCTGAATGCCACCTTGCTCGTGCTAAACATGTTATCCACGTATAATACATTAAAATGTATATATATTACATTCTGTAGAGTTTTATTCATTTAAATGTTGTGCATTTATAGACTAAGAATCTCCCCCTCTCCCTCCCCCCGAAAGAATGTACCAGAAAAAAAGCGGCTTTGAGTGAATATGTAAAGCTCCTTTTTAAACAAGACATTTGGATGTTTCCTACGGCAAGATCCATCTTGGACCCAAAGGAATGAATCATAAGTCTGGTCAGGGTGACATTTTGTACCAGTGAAACAGGGAACATTTTAAATCATTCTTTAATTTTGCAAAGAATGAACACTTAATTTGCTCTCTTAATCATCCAAAACCTTTCCAAGCATTGCATGGCATCCCGAGGACCACCAGAGTTGTGTTTGCACAAACCGTAAGTGTGCCCACTTGGTTACTATCCTAGACCAGCCACAGATGGCAGCACCTATGTCACCATCTGGTCTATGCCTCAAAAACTGATCAGGAAGACATGTTTTATTTGCATGTAAAGCCTTATTTTTGAGCTGCAGTATTTCATTTGAATGCTCTCTATGACAAGAGTGATACAGGGGTGATAAACTACATAATTATAAATTATAAATTAATTAATTATATAAATTATAAAAGTAATTATAAATGAATTAATTATATAAATTATAAATTTAATTATGAAAACAGGAAAAGCCAATGGGGAAAGACTTGCCTAAGGTGCAGAGTCGGATCTTTGAAGCCACTGAGTAGGAAATACACAATACATAGCAATAACCACAATACAGTGCTCTGGTTTCCTATCACCTCACACAAGGAATATGAAATGTGACAGAGCATCATTGCTCCATTACAATCTACCCAAGATGACTTGCCTACTACCACAGATGTGTTACTTGTAGAGCAAAAGAAAGGAACCATGAATGTAGTGTTTACAGGGAGTTAGGTCTACTTCCTAGTTTTATTTGGTACCTGGTGCATTATTAAATCTGATGTTCCAGTTCTGTTTCATACGTGTATTTGTTTCTGAAGCTGAGGATAAGGGCACCCGCATCTCCTTTCATTGCATTTCATGTGTAGGACACGTATTCAGAGTGTTTGTCCAGGTACAGTACTTCCTTGCATTTATTCCATGCATTTTCTTTTCCAAGTGGGAACCTCAAGAAAATAAACCCACTGCTAAAATACAATTTGAACTGGAACAGAGAAGCAATTCTAGACTGCCAGCTGGTTAAGTCAACAGACAGAAAACTTGTCCATACACACAAGAGAAGAGTTACAAATATTAACTGTACTGTACTACCAAAGCAAGTACAAAGCACGAGTCTGCTGCACAGTGAAAGCAAGTTTCTGAGGATGAAAACAAATCACTTGGCTGAAAAGGGGTCCAGCTTACCCAACAATTATAGAAACCAGTCTGGGAGAATGTGATTGGGCTCAAGGCTGGGCTCAAGGCAGGGGACTCGGTGCTGACATTGGTGCTGTAATCTAGTTGGGTTCAGTGGTGGTGGTAGTCAGGTGTGCAAAGTGGCAGTTTCCAAGAGTGTTATTTGGTGATTCTTGTAATACCATATAAGGTTTTTGAAGGCCTTTTTAGTGTTTGAGTGAATTATCGTTCGTCATTCAGCTGGACTGAGCATTTCACCAGGTCCCCTATTGCACGAGTATTTCCAGAGAAGAACAATTGTAATTTCTGCTGTTGCACTGATACAGAATGTTGTCTTGTTTTGATTTTGGTGATCCACTCATTTGGGACCAAGATGTTGTCATTACAGTATTGTTATTAATTTACAGTTGATGACGAACCTAGTCTCAGATGCACCTCCGCTACCCAGGCCAGGATGGGTTTTGCCTTAGGGAATATCTTTAAGTAAGCACCCTTAATTAACAAGAGATCATTTTTAAATGTAGATAAATTTTTCTTAGATTGTGATACTCCAAGAGAGCTAGGAAAAGCAAAAATATATTTGAATTGGAAAGCTGTGTACGATTATTGCAAACTTGAAATGCTTGAGTACTTTATGGTGCAAAATTTTTTGTCTCTCAGAAATTTACACATGTATAGTAAAGAAAAGGTAAGGATACCCCAAAAAAAAATTTGATTTTGTTTGGGGGGGGGTGTTGAAATTGAAATTGAAATAAGTTTATTGAGGTAAAATACACACAAAGGGATGAGGTAGCTCAAGCTATTCTCACCCCGTTCAGTACAACGTGTTAATATATACATATACACACATCACAAATAAACATATTACCAAACATTCTGAGAGGTAAAAATATACATTTCCTCCCTCACAAGGAGTATGGTATCAGACGTACACACAAATACTTTTATGACCTAGGTATACTGTATAGACAAGTTGCAAGACACCTGCAGATAATTCAACAAAATATTACAATCTTGGTGCAAAATTCTTATATCTCTCAAGAATATCATCAACCTTTCCGTTGTGACACATCCAGGCTATTTGTTCAGGAACAGTCCTTATCTCAGTGTTTCTATATACATTAATCAACGGACAATCAAGAATATAATGGGCAAGGGTGTGAGACCTTAACATACCACATAGTTTACACTTCGTGTCATTACCATGAACATCTATCCCATATTCCCAGTAATATTTGTACCCAAGCCTGAGCCGCATGTACACAGAGTCACTCCAAGCATTTCTCCTTTTACCATAAGTGAAATGGGTGTTTTGACTCACATACATGTAGTGTTGCATGGTTTGAATACTCTCATACATTATCTCTCTCCTCTCGGGGGGTGTTTGCTAAAGAAACTTAATCTTTTGTTTATTAATTATATATTTGTTATTTGATCCTGAAGTAACATATCATGCTGTAGTTTATTGAAAACATTGTCAATAGACACCTCATGGAATGTTGTGTGTGTTCGTATTCCTGTTATCTTCTTCATTACCTCCTCTTACCTGCTCCTCACCTCACTCTTACTGTCTCCTCACCTCACTCTTACCTTACTTATGCCCAGGATAATGATAGGGATAATTTATCACAGTAACAAGGTTACCGCTAATAATCTAACTCAATTTGGGGGTCACCATAGACCGTGCTACATGGCCATTTTGTTCTCAGTTGCTAAATCTAAAACAACAACAACGATAGGGATAATGAAGTCGAGTATATTTCCTCAGGGCGACATCAGCGGGGCCTTGACATCTTACCGCGGGGCTCTGCAAGTGTCGCCTCAGAGAGAGCTGCAGCTCCTGGCCCTGCACGAGGTGGCCTGGTGCCACCTCCTACAGTTGAACTGGAGCCACGCTCAAGGTGCCTTTGCTAACCTGAAGAAGGAGTCCAGATGGTCCAAAAGCTTCTATGCTTATTTATCTGCTGGTATGTTGAGTATAGCACAGTACTGTATATAGGAGTGTGCTGTTGACAGTAGTTGGGGAGTGTGGACATTTGATGAAGTGAACATTTTGCCTCAAACAATTAATACAAATCAAAACATGGTTAAGTCATTTAATATGCAATTTTCATTTAAATTGTAGTACGGTATACAAAAGCAGAAGCATTGATGAAAATTTTAGTGTCAGATATGTAGCCAGATATGTAGTTTAACCACACGTTCTTTCCTCAGTATGTCTTGGGGCGTCTGGACGACTAGAGGAGTGTGCAAAGGGGATGATGGAAGTTCCAACTCTTGTCCGTCGTTCCAGTCATGCGCTGGAATCTTTTTTGATGCGACGTGCACTCAAGGTAAGGATGAGATGCACACTTAAGTAAGGTGAGATACACACTTAGGTAAGGTGCGATTCACACTTAGGTAAGAATGAGATACACACTTAGGTAAGGTGAGATACACACTTAGGTAAGGTGAGATACACACTTAGGTAAGGTGAGATGCACACTTAGGTAAGGTGAGATACACACTTAGGTAAGGTGAGATGCACACTTAGGTAAGAATGAGATACACACTTAGGTAAAATGAGATACACACTTAGGTAAGGTGAGATACACACTTAGGTAAGGTGAGATACACACTTAGGTAAGGTGAGATACACACTTAGTTAAGGTGAGATACACACTTAGGTAAGGTGAGATGCACACTTAGGTAAGGTGAGATACACACTTAGGTAAGGTGAGATACATACTTAGGTAAGGTGAGATACACACTTAGGTAAGGTGAGATACATACTTAGGTAAGGTGAGATACACACTTAGGTAAGGTGAGATACACACTTAGGTAAGGTGAGATACATACTTAGGTAAGGTGAGATACACACTTAGGTAAGGTGAGATACACACTTAGGTAAGGTGAGATACATACTTAGGTAAGGTGAGATACACACTTAGGTAAGGTGAGATACACACTTAGGTAAGGTGAGATACATACTTAGGTAAGGTGAGATACACACTTAGGTAAGGTGAGATACACACTTAGGTAAGGTGAGATACACACTTAGGTAAGGAAGTGACACACACACACAAAGTAAGGCTGTGATGTGCACCCCTAGATAAAGATGCAATTTGCACCGTATATGATACTGTTGATTGCAGTACGTATTTGCAGTTCTAATGGGCTTGATTTTATTTTTGTAAATAATGATACGGTGATATAAAGGTCTACTGAAGTTGGACCATTAGCAGTTAGAGTGCTACATCATTTTTTTTTTCAAACATGTAAAGGCATTTGTCTTTTACATTCCAGTCTAAGGGCGTGGCTGTAACCAAGGACTACTGTCTCCTACGTGCCTATGAACTACTCTATATGTGGAATGCTCTCGCCTCATGTTCCTTACAGCATCGACTGCAGATGGTCGAAGGTAAATACAAGATTACACATTGTTTGAAATCTCTTATCTATTTTACCCATCAACATTTTATTGCACTAGGACATGTCTGAAATCTCTGGAGTTATGTTTGCTGGCCAACCGGCTATACAAAATAAAGAAAAAATAGCAGTGTTTTCATTAGCACCTTGTTTCAGAGTGTCAGGCAATGGGGCAATGTGGAGATCACGAGGGACTCCGACATTTGATCGTGGCGGCTATCCTCGACACTCTGGGCTCTGCAGATGATGCCGTCGAACACTTTCGCCTTAGCGTGCAGCATGGCCTCTCAAACCCAGAGGAACTATGTGTTCCAGCCTTTGCACTGTATGAGTTAGGTCTTCTCCTAGGCACTAGTGACGAGGTAATTAGTTAAGAGGCAAACGTATTAACATATTAAAAGGTTTAATTTTTGGAGGTAAGATTTAGTATCAAGTTATTGTGATGCATTCATCAAGATGATCAATTGAATGACTTTCTTTCTTGTATATTTTTGAGGTTTATTATTAGTGATAATATTTATTGAGAAAAGGCAAGAAATGGCAAAGTCTGCTTATAAGCACATAGTTAAAACTAGAAAGCTAGTGCCCTAAAAAGTTGCACATTTTTTGGCAATTTATGATGTAGTATATTCTTTGTTCAACGAGACTCAGTGAATATGAAAATTCATTTTTAAGTTCATTTTAAAATTCAAGGGACGATCCATCCTGGTCCCAAAGGTGTGGATCACAATATTCAGGAAAGGCCGACATTCTGTACGATTGCAACAGGAATCGTTTCAAATAATCGTGTGGATCATACTGGTGTTTGGAAGGCACCAGAGAAATAAAAGGTACCCATGCTGTGGTGGAATGCATCAGGTCACTAGACACTCGAATCAGCTCAAGTTCAACTTCAAGTACGTTTATTGAGACAATAAGATACATCTCAAAAGGATAGAGTAGCTTAGGCTATTTTTACTCTCCAATTTAATGCTAACAGCAATTGGTATTCCCAGGAAGTCACCCATCCAAGTACTAACCAGCTCACCTTTTATGAGAAAGGAGAAGCCTATGAGCCAAGACAGAGTTAGTGACTGACCTACCCAAACCCTGTCTTACCATTTGATGGTGGTCAGGGTAGTGGCAGGTGGGAAATTGGCAGTATGTGTAATTACCCAAATAATTATTACCCAAGTGTAGTTACAGGATGAGAGCTATGCTCATGGTGTGCCGTCTTCGCTTTGTTATATAACGCTTTGAAATTATTGACGGTTTTGTACGATTTTTATATGATGTGTGTGCTGTTTGTGTCACTTGAAGTTGGATTGAGCTTTTCTCCAATGTCTCTGTAGCATGAATATGACCTGATGACCAAACCCCACACCTGAGGATGAGGAGACGACGACGTTTCGGTCCATCCTGGACCATTATCAAGTCGATTGTGATAATGGTCCAGGACAGACCGAACCATTGTCGTCTCCTCATCTTCTGGTGTGTAGTTTGGTCATCATATATTCAGCCACATTATTGTGACTCATCGTCTGCACATGAGTATGACCTGACAGGGGTGTTTGATAAACTCCCTGCTGCACTTGTGTAAAACCTCACCTGTTCGTGCTGCTATAATACACTTTTTGGGACCAGAGATACATCTTAAGTTAAGTAATATCCAGGTAGAATAGCTCAATAATTTTGTTTTCATAATAGGACTCAAACCTAAAATAGGTCTTTTCTCTTGCAGACATTAGAAGAAGGAAGGAAATGTCTGGAGGATGTACGAGACAACTACCACGGGTATGACTTTGAAAACCGCCTTAATGTACGAATTCACGCAGCTCTGAAAAACTTATCTTAGGGTACTATCTTCCTGCACCTGTGACCTGTGTTCAGAATTACTCAGCTACGTTCAAGAAAGTTGTGCGGCTATTTTCTTGACTGTTTTGTACTAGAGGTTTGCTATATTACCCCAAAAAATTATTTGTGGCTAATTCTGTAGGTGTGTTTGATAAAAATGTTAATGTAAGCAGGTTTTATATTGAGTTTAAAAGTCCAAATTAGAATATTTAAAGTTATATTTGATATAATTTGTGTTGTGACGTGTCACATTTGATCTCAGAAACTTTGATGTGTGAACGTTATGGTTATAATGAATGAAAGTTTAAGAAAATATCATTTTAGGTAAAAGGAAATTCATTGTAAGCCATATTGGCAAGAATATTGTATGTTTATTTGCCGAGCAAGTAAACTTGTGATTATTAAAGTTATTTGGCAGTTTTCAGAGCAGTTAAATTTATTTATATATATAGATGATCTGTAATCATAAATGACACACACACACACATACAAGTGCATACATGCAAGCACAAAAACACACTTGCACTAAATATACATGCATGCATGTATAAATACTCATCGTCTCACGCACACACACACACACACACACACACACACACACACACACACACACACACACACACACACACACACACACATGAAGCATGGAAACAGCTCGATGGATTCATTCCAGTCTCTCTGGTCTTAGGAATTCAGTTACGCTGGAAGTTTGCCATTTTATACAAAATATTATTACAGTGTTTTTGTTATTGCAAACAATATATAGTAACATACTGTATTTCATATTGATACCAAAATCACTTTTAAAAATTGTTTAAACACTGTACTGTACTGTAGTTGGTTTTTGTTACATTTTCGACTCTCAATTCATGTCGAGAGAGTGCAAAGGCAATTTTTACTGGGACACTTCCATTATTTTCCGCTGTAATCAATTACAGTATAATAAACACACTACTAAAATGTTTATACGTGATGAGTAAAATCTCCACAAGCCACTATATTTTAATGCAGAGAATACAAAGACAGCTAATTGTAGCTAATAGCATGAGTAATATTTTTTGTATTAAAAGTTTAATAATGTGATGATTTAAATAAAATATAATAAATTATATATACAGTATATTGTATATGCGAACAAACTTGAATGGTCCTCTAGCATATATGCAACTGAAAACTCTACACCCCAGAAGGCTTCAAACTCAGACAGCCAGGAGCACTATGCACATGGCGTACCTTGTTCTTCAACCACTCGACCACTGTGACTGTTCAAAAGACATTGGTAGCTGAGGCTATTTTCCCAACATCCCGACAGCACTTGGTGGTAAACTTGGGCATAGATATTTGCCCAAGTTTAGTGAGTGAAGTGATTCGATGAAATATCTATGCCCAAGTTTACCACCAAGTGCTCTCGGGATGGTGGGAAAACAGCCTCGGCTACCAATGTCTTTTGAACAGTCACGGTGGTCAAGTGGTGTAGGAACCAGGTACGTCATGTGCATAGTGCTCCTGGCTGTCTGGGTTCGAATCCTTCTGGGGTGTGGAGTTTTCAGTTGCATATATGCTTGGGGACCATTGTATCGACTTAAAGCATCGTCGTCCCTTCATTTTCTAGTGTGTGGATTGGTCAACAAATTGTTGAAGTATAGCAATCACTGGCAATTGATTCAGATATGAGATTAGGTATCCTGCCTTAGGATTATTTTGGAACAAAGATTGAAGTCTTTAAAGAGCGAACTGTTCCAATAGAAAGTATGAGATAAGTTGGGTATCAATGGCTGTGTGGGCGTGTGGCCAAAACCAGCAAAAATCTCACTAATTGGGCAATCGCATAGGATGCCTGGCCTCGTGCCGAGCTGCAAGAGCAGGAAAACTCAAAAGCAACTATAAGCCAGGATGCAAGTGTGTAAACAACTTTAAAAAGTGGCAACGGGAAAACTGTACAGGGAATCACATAAATAGACATTGGAGAAATGTGTTTGGTAGATTGAAACAATTACCTGTAAGACTTGACACGCAGCTATTTAATGTAGGTAAACATTCAAAATGTGGTAATTACAACTATCACCTGAAGTCGTTAAGACTATTCAAAGAAAACTTTACATTTCACATGTTGATGAATCACTGTAATAACTCTAATACAAGCACATTTATATACTAGGTCCAAACATTGTGCAAGCTATGCATTCCTGGAAAACCATTGTATTCCAGGAGATCGTGCTAGATGAGGGAATGGCTTGTGGGTGTAGCAGGAGTTGCCGCATGTTTAGGATAGGCCATGATGCAAGAGTTTAACCCAGTGTGTAAAACCTATGGGAAAAGGCCCATTTGACAGGGTGTCATAAACATTAGATAAGCATAAACTGTTAAGGAGTGTTGTTAAACCCTCAAAGCATTTTTAGAAGTGTTTAAATTAACTAAAAGTCATATCTTTTCTTATTTTTTCAATTGAATTTTGCTAACATGCTGCCGTAAAGGTATGTTATCATGTGAATCCTGTGAATTATGTCATTATGTGAATCTTGAAGCTACTTAATATTCTGCCACTTTCCCTACTGTTTAAAATTAATTTTGATTGTAAATATAATTGTAATATTGTGACTCAGGTTTGGGGTGAGGCTCAGAATCACTGCCCAAAGTTTGTCTCCAACATACAAAGTTTACCCTTAAGATTGTTCACAGTAAATATTCATGGTACTAATTTGAGCTAACACTAATTGTTAAACTTTGAACTAAAGTACAAAACTGATGCTAAGGGCTGTGTTTTGTGAGTTAGTTAGTTTAGTTTAGTTCATTTATTATGCATCCCATACCCATCTTGTGGGTGGTAGTGGAAAGGGTTACAGAGGCACATAATGGGCTCAGGGACTGAACCCCACAATTCATTTAGCTAAGCAAGTTACAATCTTGATGAGCTAGTTACAAAATTCAATATAAGTCATCACATCAACAATGGGTTCGAGATCGACCTCAAGTACAGGTTCTAAATTAAGCAACTGACATATGTGGAGAGCTAGTGTCAAAATTTATATGTGTTTTGTGAAAATTTTAAAATTTGATTGTTTTACAATATTTAAGTCATACGAGTTCAGAAGGTGCAAAATTCATGTTTCACAGTGTAGGCAGGCAGTGGTTGATCAGTCCGGCAACCAGGAGGCCTGGTCGACGACCGGGCCGCGGGGACGCTAAGCCCCGAAAGCACCTCAAGGTAACCTCAAGGTAAGGTATGCAGCGCCAAAATTTTCCTGTGTACTAAGGGTTCTGTTGTACATTGAGTTTTCACATGTTTAATGTATTTTTGCGCACCATGGCACATTCCAAACTTTCTACAATGTCTGCTGCGTGCCAAGAGATGAAAGATAATGTTGCTCTCATCCATGTTATTGATGAGCAAAGATACAGTAGCTACTTTTTATTATGAAGCAGGGAAGTGGCTGACAAAATATAAAAGCTTTAATTTTATATAAATATGCTTTTCTGAAGTGGACACATCATTAGTTATATGTTTACTATGAATCAAATTTTTAGTGCAGTTTGGTTATAGTACAAAAGGCTAAATCCATATAACACACAGCAGTTAAAGGCTTAACTCCTTGATGACTACATTTCCAATACCACGCCTTCCCTATGATTAAACTTTACAAATGTATTAAAAAATTATATATAGTACAGAAATTTCATATTTGCATACTTATTGTAAATAAAACAAATTGAAAACATTACTAACTTAGTTACATAATTTCTCAAATTAACAGATTTTCAATGGTGCTACCATCTATTACCTATTTGAGTCCCAGTGTGAGAATTATTAATAATTATTGCAATTCTATAGACTTTATATTAAATACTTGTTATGCAAATGCAAACTATCAAAAGTAAATCTAATTTTCACGAGGCTGATAGCAGCCTTTACCCGGCTCAGGCATGTGTACCTTCTAGCACATGGGTTTAGGTTGCACATAGCAGCAAAGGTCCTATTTTCTTAATTCAACTGCTATTGCATTTTACAATCAAAGGGTTTAGGGGCACTCGTATTTGGTGGGTGGTGGTTCAGAAACACAGGTAGGTTGGTATTACAAAGCACTTGGGTATTGGGTAGGGGTCTCAGAAAGACAGGTACGTTGGTACAGTATTAAAAAGCACTTACGTGTTGGGTAGGGCTTCAGAAACACAGGATGTTTTGTATTTAGGAGTACTTGTACATTGAGTAATGGGCTAGAAACACAGGCACCTTTGTTTAGTTTATGAAGCACGTATGTATTGGGTAGTGCTTCAGAAACACAGCCAGTTGTGTATTGTTTAAAGAACATGGTTCTTGTGACCCAGTAATTAAGGAAAACTACAATGCATGATAAGAATGATACTCCAAAGGAGTTATGAGTGCTATATATACAGTAGTGGAGTTCTAGATGGGGTACTTGGCAGTGTCCAGGTTGACCCTGTGCCCAGGTCCCTCCCACATGCCCTTACACCTCTCATCCACATGCACACCCTCTCTGTCTCCTCCAACATACACCCCTGCCTGTCTCTCCCCTCCCCCCCACACATATCCTCCCCATCTTTTCTCACATACACCCTCCCAGTCCCCCCCATACACACTCCCCATCTCCCTCTACACATACATTCCCAGTTATAATTATAAATAAATAAATATACCTATCTCCCCATAAACACACCCTCCCCATCTCACCCCACAAACAACCTTCCCATCTCCCCCACACACATCATTGTTCTCATCTCCCCCATATACACTCTCCCAGTAGCCACCCACATACACCTTCCTCATCTCTGCCTATATACACCCTCCTAGTCTCCACCCATATACACCTACCTGATCTTCTCTTACTAAACATCCTTCCCTGTAAACCCCAGAACACACCTTGCCACTCTCACCACATCACTGTAACCATTTCCACTACACACTATCTACATCATTGTAATGAAAAAGGTTTCCCTAGAATGCAAATCTATTATCTGAACTTTGAATGTCAATATCTGAATACACTAACATTTAAATGAATGCTAAAATTCTATTGACTATCCGTTGCACAGTTTATGTCCACCAAACTCGTAAAAGGTGTGGTGGAAGCCGACTCCTCTTCAAGGGTGGCATAGGGGCTGACCCCGACCACCGTATGAGACTTCATCAAATTATCAGTCACCATGCAAAGTTGTGTGAGGTAACCCCAATCATCTAGCTTCCAACATTTAACAGAAACAGACATTCTCTTTTATGGATAGATGGGCAGAGTCCAGGTCTCTCTCCCTCCCAATCTCTTTAATTTTCATTCTCCCTCCCTCCCCTCCCCCCCCATTCTCCCTCCCTCCCCTCCCCCCCATTCTCCCTCCCTCCCCTCCCCCCCCATTCTCCCTCCCTCCCCTCCCCCCCCATTCTCCCTCCCTCCCCTCCCCCCCATTCTCCCTCCCTCCCCTCCCCTCCCATTCTCCCTCCTTCCCAGCCTCTGTCCCTCTCTCCCATTTTTCTCCCTTTATTACTCCTGTTCTCTCCCAGTGGGCAAAGCATGCTCGATTTTATATTGAATCAACATCGATTCAGTAACAACCGAGAAATTTGTTGGTACACTATGGATAATCGCACCCACATTTTAGATTTCATATGAGTCATCGGGTGTCACAATAGGAGCCAATCATACTTAAAGAGGAGCATGGGGGTCAACCCCAACCACCCTATGACACTTGCTATATAATCACAATTTACCACGGAAAGTTGTGTGAGGGTAACTGCACCCATCTGGCCTCCAACTTCGAACAGACGAACAATTACACTCCCCTTTAGATAAAAATTGGGTACTGTTAGTAAACATGAATAAGTACAGAGTTTCCGTGTGTGTGTGTAGACACATAACTGAACTATGAATCATTTTAAAGATTATTATTCAATTGAAAAAGGAAGAAATTTGTTGTCTAAAAGATGGCTTAGCATCATGGTAATAGAGAATGAAATGCTTTGAGAGTGAGAAAAAGACATCAAATCTCTATGGGGTGGGTAAAACTGTAAATAATAGAATATATAAAATTAGTGCTGAAATAGGGGTTCCTCATCTATGCAGCTGAAACCCAGTTAATGTCTTAGAAACATATGGTGCAATTGTA